GATCAGGCTATGCGACCCTCCGTGCGGAGAAATGGAGCTCCCACTGCCGAACCTCGCACGATGGAAACCTGTCTATTAGATTCTGTAGCGCCTCAATTTCACTGGAAATTCCCAACAAGATATCCTTCAGCCGTTTCATATCTTCTTTCACTGGCTCAGTGATGCGGCGCACTGGGATGATGCACTCCCTTCGCCGCCATCTTCCCTCCTTCTTTTCCTTTTAATTTGTTCTTATTGTTATACATTGCCAGTAGAAGGCATCTTGACACATCCTACCTATACAGAGTATTACTTCTCATTCTTCCGATTGTACAGGATGTAGATCTTTCTAGTAATTTTTCATCAATATGATCTTCCTGCCAGAAGTTATTGGTCTATAGAGCCCGTTTCTCCTAATCCAAAGGTTCTTCTTTCTTCTCCTCCCTTCCTCCTATTCTCTGTCAGCCTCCTAGTTCTTTACCTGTTCATACACTCACTCAGTATTACTGAGTGCCAGTCAGGAGGTTCTACTTCTGGCTTAGCAGCTAAAGAATAAAATGAAAAGATTGCTCAAAGTCTGTCCATTCCCCAAATATAGTTACACTAGTTTGGGGAAGAGAGAGAGAAAAACATTAATAATAATGGTAACAATGATTATGTGCTTACTGAATGTTGAGGGTTCATCTAAGGTTTATACACACACACACACATATGTGTATGTGTGTATCCATTAACTTAACATTCACAAAAATTCTATGGGAAAGCTACAATTATCACCATTTTACAGGTGATAGACTGAGGCACAGAGGTTTACTGGCAGCCTCAAGGGCACTGGAAGAGCTGGGCAGAAGCAAGCATTCTGGCTCTAGATCTAGTCATTTTCACAGCATGCTTTAAACATATGTATTAAGTATAGATCAATATGTTTTATACAATTTGTATAATAAAATAAGCATGGTTTGAAGCATACTCTCTATATGCAAATGCTTGCCACTGGGTAAGTGCAAGGATAAAGGTAGCTCAGCACAGAAGTTATAATGGAGATCTGGGTTAAAGACTGAGATTTAGTAATTTTAAACTATGCAATAAATGGTTATCAACCAGGAGGGTCAATAAGAAGAGAAGGTTGCAAAATATCCGTGAGCTTCCCCGTTATAGAGTGGGCAGAAGAAGAAGAATCACCACAGAGGTGAAGAGGAGAGAGTGTGAGGCCAAGGGAGAAGAGGGAGTCGATGTGGCAAACCAAGAAGCAGGTTTGAAGGGTGGAATCACCCATGTGGTCAAATGCTGCAGAGATGTCCCCAGCCCTCCCTGCCTTACCAGTAGTGTTCTATGTGTAAACATCAGGTGACAGACTGAGCCACAATGTCCCTAGAAACTGGCTCATGGTGACTCAGGCTCCCCTCTATCTTGGTGTCCTTTTTCCTAGAGGGGTTGGACATGTCTCTTTCTCAGAACACCTTTGTGTGATTGGAGACCACCTGGCTTTGGTGGACTTCCACCTCCCCATCCTTTCTGGACAGGCACCTGACCAACAAGGGCAAACATGGGCCTTCGATTTTGCTCATGCTCTTGAGTTGACTCTGGATGGAGAAAATAAGATCAAATGATTCATCTGTAGAGCAAGATGAACTGTTATTCCTATGGCCAAGGGCAGAGCAGGAGAGAGGATGGGAGTCTTAGGAGGAATGACACTAACGAAAAGAGAAACAGGGAGTCAAGTTCAATAGCGACAGGATTGAATGTTCTTAATCACTGCATTAATAGCTCATCACCACAGATAAGATCAATGCTCTTACTACAGCCGTGGCTGCCGTCGCTGCTGCCAGTGCTGTTTCCAATCCAGCCTCTATTCTTTCATTATTGTTCTGCTGCCACCTGCACCACATTGCTGCCATTGCTAGAACTGCCACTGGCAACCTTTCATCTGGCACCCTGCAGCCCTTGTGATAGGGGCTTCCCAGCTTTCCCATAAGGAAAGTCATATCCCACTCGACCTGTGGAATTGGAATCAGGTGAGAGGTGTGGAACCTGGCCTCCCAACCACCCCTTAGTCCTTCCCCCTAATGCTGGCCACCCACCATAGGCCATGGCTGCCCCTTCTCCCCCACCCCAAGGTTTTCCCTATAACTCAGTGAAAGTCTGTCTTTTTGATCTTGGAAGAAACAGCTCTATGCTTCAGCATTTGTCTACAAAGAATCAATGCGAAAGGAAAGAAATATAAATAGATGTGTTTTGTCTTGTTTGGGAAGGGGAAAGGTGCCAGCCACACAGAGCTTCCCAGTGCAGAGAGCAGGTGTCTGGGTTTGCTCTGGCCATCCCAGAAGCCACGTATCCTCAGGAAGCCATTTCAACCGGCTGCACCCAAATCTCCCCATCCTTTGATCAACAGGATTTATAAAGTTTCTCTCCACTTCATGCCATAGCCTAGAATTAAGAGGGCAGCAGAGATGGGGGAGAGAGACAGCTTTTCTCAAGAAGCTGGTGTTTGAAGCAACTCCTCTGTGTATTTGTTTTTAGTGAGTCTGGCGCGTCTGGATGTAAAATTGGCTGGAGTTGCATCAGGACCTCTCACCTATGGAAAAGTGTGGCTCCGCTAGAAGAAGCAAAGGTGGGGAGCACATTTAGAGTGTTGCTACTCTGAAACTGGAGAAGCTCTCACTCTGACGCCTGTTGAGCAAAGTACAAATTGCATAAAAACCACAGGGCTTCACAACTACTGTAATGAATATGCTTCCAGTCATGAAATTTCTCTGGTTGATGCATTTCTTGGATATATTTTATGTAAGGAAAGGAAAATAAAATTGTGCTAGTTAAATAACAAACTAGAGTGAGTTTGATGAACTGAAACTACTAAATATTTAAAAGATTGGAATAATTATAGTTCTTGTTTTTTTATTTTGTCTTAGCGGAAATACTGAGGAAGGTATTTTATAAAATATTAATGTAAATATATGAACTTGTTTGCAAATGAGCATGATGTTAAGCCAGTTCAACTGAAGTGGATTACTTTGTTTTTCTACTTAGAGTTTGGTGTGTGTATGTG